CCTTAAATTTCTCCAATAAACAGTCATGTCAAAACCTAGTTTACTGAAAATACAAAGTTGGTTTTAAAAAAAGCAAAAACGTTCCTGTGGTTCAGTAAAACTTTTCTAATATGAATAGTTTGCATTCATAAAGACACTAAGCTTGGGACAAAAAGTATGTCCTAGAAGCTCAAAATGAGACTTTAATTTTTGTAACTATTAAATGGCATGCAAACATACAAATTTGTTGCTGATTATTTCTCTCTCTCTCTCTCTTATAAAAGACTTACTGGGCCAGAGTAAAGCAGGTATTTTTACATGTTCGTTTATACAATGACCTCTCCCCCTCACACTAAAAAATGTCATATATAGAACATTTTATCAGCTGTCTTTGCCCAAATGCTGCTTCTGTAAATTTGAATACTATGCCCTTCAGACTCCCACGACTGGTGCCAACAATCAAACAACTTTCAGAAAGCTTAACAATACCTAAATTTGCCAATTTTCCTCTACAGAAAATATACACAAGTTTATAAATCCATGGCAGGGGTATTACAATTATATTAACATCAACTCATTAACTGGATTCAAAAGATACCTGCATTCTGTAAGGACTGTATGGCTGCTGCCCATTCAATAGTTCTATCAAGGTACTGTACAGTCATTCAATCTCTAGTATTCTCCAAGATGTGCTGAAGAATATTGTGAACGTGTTTAAGTTGTTAAAAAGCCCTGAGTCAGAACTTTCATATTTACCACAGGCTTAGCTATAAAAATGGCACATACTAAAACTTCTGCAGATAACAGTTTTGCTTTGTCAACATAAACAAGTTATGAAATGCATAAAAAGACAATAGTACGAATTCCAGCAACTTATGCAAGAATGATATACAATTTACATTGTAGCAAATCACACACTTCTACTGTACGTAATCTATACAGTCAGTAAAAAAAAAAAACCAACCCTTCGCAATGTATTCAGACATCAAAACTGATGAAGCAAAACAAAACTGATGTGTTCCCCATCCTCTTCCTAAAGACAAAGAAGAACTAGAGAAAAATTCAGTACTTTGACAGAAAGGAGGTAGCACTGCTAAAAGTTAGGCTGTAGTGTTGTTGGTTTGTTGGTTTAGTTTTTTTTTAAGTGAAAACTTGACCCATGCAGCACAGAGAACAGGACAGGCTCTTCAGTTCACCAGCTGCTACTGGAAGAGTAAAATTAAGTTTTTCACATTTAATTTTGTAGAGGAAGCTTAGATCACTAGCTCAAAGCAGCTTCTTCAAACAATTTAGTGTTTATACAAACTGCAATTAATACTGCTAAAAATAATTAGGCGTACATAAAACTTCACCTCTAGAAAATATCTACACAATAAGTACTTAAATCAGATTATTTTTAAAAGACCATTTCATGTCTTTAAAAGAAGCTAAAATACCGATTGTAAGACTATGCTAACAAGGCACAAGTACTTGTGCAAATCTGCTATATCCTCACCCAGTCCAAGTTAAGAACACCACCTCCTAATCAAACTTTCACATTTACAAAGTAACTTGTTTATTTTCTTGCCAGTGTACTTTTCAGTATCCACTTCAGCAAAAAGGGATTCCTCCAAACCCCAACATACAAGTACACAGTATTTCAACAAATGGAAAGCAGGTAATAATAGGCCAAATTTTGAGAAGTGCCATATGAGCTTGGGGAATAGCAAGTGATAGTAGGTTTGGGGAAAAAAAGTGAAACAGTTATACAGAAGTTAAAAAGCTACAACTATTTAGCATATTCTGTTAGCCTCTTAGGTTGTCTTTATACTTTAAATCGCTGTGTACTGATGTGACCGTTTATGTATTTTACTAAATGGAAAAAAAGAGAGAAGTATTTTACTTAAACATCTGAGCATACCTCACACCTGAACAATCTATATTACTAGGTGCCTTCGTGACTGTTTCAAGAAACACACTGAGATATTTCATCCAATTTAATTTCAAAACTGCTATTAAATAGTGGGGGATAATCATAAACAAAGCTAGCAACTCTTACATTTTATGATTTTACAATATATTAAAAATAATTGCCTTACTGATTTTTCTCTCATTTTCACTTTGCTTCCTAACAACAGTGACGATAATGAGATTTACACTTTCATCTTTTGCTGAAGACAGAGGCACAATGACATATCCTCAACTCTCCTACTTGTTATGATCCTCTTTGGCTTCCAACTGAGCTTCTGTTTTTCATCCTGCGATATATTTTAGTGTTATCCAATTCAACGTTTGTGCTCTGTACATGTTGCACAGATGATACCAGACTAAATTGAGTGAATGAACTTACTAGCTTCCTCAACAACACTAGTTCACCTTCTACATCAGAATCCAAAGACAGTGTGTGAATCTAAATATCTATTTCTGTAAATTGCAAACATTTTTCCTCATTATGTTTTCTGAAAGGCAAGCACTGTGTAGCCTTCCCAATACAAGAATCAGCTATTTCACCTGTTAGTAAGAAGCCTATATCAATAATTGAAGCATGTTGGTTAGTTTACCTAGTTTTTCTAATTCAGCTGTTTCTCCTGGTACCGTAATAGCATCAAGTTGACATACTTTAATTTCAGCTGGCACACAACATTGCCGAGTAAGTCCAACCACAAACTTGTAGGCAGTCACATATATCTGGTGTGACTGCAGTATAGAAGACTACAGCTGCTCCTACAGCAATGCCTTCAGTCATTGTCTCTATTTCCATAGGACTGTGATGGCATCCAAGTATTAAGAGTGTTATAAAGTAACTTACAGTGTCTCTGTTGAAAAGTACAAGCCTAACAAAGCACTTACCTATCTATGCTAAAATATGTGCCTCCTGCAGACAAGGAGTATTTAACATTCAACTCCAGTTTCCCACCCAGGATCAGTTCTTACTCAGCTGAATTATTCAATTGATGCTAAGTTGGAATACTTTCAAGTAATTCTGGCTTGTTCCAGTGAAAAAGAATTAGGAAAATGCCAACTGCTATACTGAGGTTTCTGCATTATCAAGAAGAATCCACCCTGCCTTTGTGCTGACAAGTTTATAGAGGTCCCCTTGAAGAATAAATAGGATACAATATTCAAAATATGTCTACCAGAGCCAGAGGAAACCAAGGTACGCATCTGATGCATTACAGGCTAAAACTCAGAACGGATTGTCAAATGGCACATCCTATTATAAAATTATTTTTATAATAAGACTGACAGGAAACTGAAGCCTACTGTAGAAGGTTCAGCTGTCAAACACACTACAAAAAAAAATCAGGCTTAGTGACATACATATTGGCCAAATGAAAATTGGAGTTAACACCCAGGTGCACTCAGAGCTTAAGCAGAGATAGTGAAATGCTGAACTGAAAAAAAGCGTTATACCAATAACTTTCCAAAGCTACTGAAATTTTTGTATTTTAGAATAGGGGCCCAAGCAGCAAGAAAAAAGGGAGGGCTATTTCGTTTGGCCAAGACAACAGATACACAGATTATCTGAGAACACATGACTACTAGTATGCAAAATAAAACAGACTATTATATTGACTCCAGATTGGGATTATGTTCAATGAGAAATTACTGAAAAGAATAACAAACATTTGCAATTCTGGATCGGGATTAAAGATGGCTATAGAAAGGCTGTGTATTACATCACTTTGCTATGTTAAAAGCCACTCTACATACATTTTTCCAATATATCACTGTAGTTGTTTCCTGGGAAACTCTATTCAGTGTTTAAACCTTGCTGGTTAAAAGTTCACCTGTCTTTACTAGTAACATTCTTCTGAGACTTTTGCCAATGTTTGCACAATTCAGACATATCAACACAAGCTTTAAAAGACTGAGATCGATTTATCTGAAGAGATCACAATTTTATGCCTTTATCCTTACTTGGATCTTCCCCTGAACTATCCCTTTCTCCACATTTTTGACATATGCAATGAGAACCAAATGAGAAATTCTTAGCTGCAAGTAAGGCACCTAAGTGACTCCAGCATGGATTTAATGTTCTGCAAGAGCACATCCAAATGAAGCCTGCACCATGGCAAAGGACTAAACTATGCACTCAGAAAACTGCCAAATCACTTAGGAGTAAGTACACATTCCTTTTAGCTACAAGAGATCCTTAAATCAGCACACTTTCTTCCATCCGAAAAGACAGAAGGACGTACTTGTTATCAAAACGTTAATAGTTTGCAGTTCCTGACAGTAGCATTTCTGGCGTCAGGTACACCTCTTTGTCACATCAGCGACAGCTAACTCCTTCAGCCAATTTCAGGTCACCTAGGCATGGCTCACAAAATTCACTGCTCTGTCAGCAGTTATCTTCATTTGCAGTATTACCCAGTAATGTTGACAGATAAGTTCTGGTGTTCACACCCAACTTAGATGAATAAGCAATATTAAATCTTCTCTTTTGCTGTTGACACTGTTTGCCTGGAGACAATAAAACTAATTAAAGAGAGGAAATCTTGCAAAATCTCTAGGTTTTTCCTAATTCATAGACCCAGAATTTTTAAATGGCCCCACATATATATGTGTTCCTCTAGAACTGATCAAATTCACTCCTCTGAAATGGATAAGTGACCCATTGCTCAAATGTTTTCCTTTCCAGTCAAGTTAAAAGCAATTCCATACAAAATTATGTGGCTAGCAAAATTAAGAAGTTCACTATTTAAGTTAGCTTTAATCTGTTAGACTGAAGTGCAGTTTTGGGAACATAATGTTTCTAAACTGGATTTTTCTTTTTACTGTTTCCTTCCAACCCATCCTCAGCAACAAAGGGCATGATAAAGTTAGAATTACCTTAACATTGTATTTTGAGGCCTGAACTTATGGAAATAGTATTTTTATTACCACTGTGTATACACTTTGTATTGATTGTGCATATTGATTTTGCATCTTTCAAGACAGAAATTGTTGTGAATCGTAACTGTCACAGGAAATTTCAACATTCTCCAGAAAAGCATAAACCAAAAAAATCCTAAATATTTCTTTTATATTAACTGACAATATAAAAAAACCCCTTATATCACTTGACACCTGATACATACATTAAAAAACATGAACGAAACCAAAATAAGATTGTCCCTTTAAACTTTAAGGGGAAGAAGAAGACAGAAAGAAAATGAAGAGACGACTAGTTTAAATTTGCTTCAGGCTTAGATGTTTTTTAAGAGTAAAGCTAAAAGCTGACTGTTCAAATACTGTTCTCTTATTTGGTGTGTTCACAGTCTTTAAACAATTACCATGTAATGAACCTGTGCTACAGTATTAGAAATGTTTTCATTAGAACCCTTTACTGCCTTTCGAACGTAGAGAGATTTAAATCATCGAAATGTCCTTACTATTTCATAAACTAATAAAAGACACTGGTTCCACTACTTAATACAAAAGGATCCTTCGTTCAATTGCCTTGCGGCATATAGGGCATTCACTCATTCGGTCTCCACAAAGTTGACACGTTCCATGGCCACAGAGAAAGATCATATTCTTCAGACGGTCCAAACAGACAGGACACATAGTCTGTAAAAGATTTTGACAGGTTACATAGTCAACGGCAGTAGTGATACAGTATCAAATATGCAATATATAAATTATTGACATTTAATAATAAATATACCATCTTAAGCACAGATCATTGTCATTGCATAACCCAGCCACTAACTTGAAAACTAAATTATTTTTTTTAAAAATCACATTTTTACTTCACATTGACTTAAAATATTTGGGCTTTTCCTACTGCATCCTGATACAAAAACTATGTAGCTTTTTTCCAAATATGGTCCCTTTAAGTAAGACAATCCGGTAGCAGGTTGACGTCACATTTTCAATATCATTACCCAAGTTTGCAACATTAAGACATTCTTCAGCAACATTCCCCTTTATGTCATGTAATCTTCCACAGAACAAACAACACAAACAGCTTTATGTGTACAATGCTTGGGTAATGATTTACCAATTTCTTCTTAGGCTACCTAGCCATTCATATACTTACCGTTAAACACCAAGTACTGAACACATGCAGAAGTAATAAAAATGCTGCATAATCAATATTATACTTAAAGATTCAATACTGGTAACTCCAGCCTTTGCTCATGAAAGTTATCTAGATTTTCAACCAAAAGAACACCTCAAGTTTCAAATGAAAAACAACTTAATAAATCTGTGACCTTCAGTCATAACAGCAGCACAGCAAACTTTTAAAATCAGTTTTAATTGCTGAACATCAAAGTGACAGCCAATGCCCAAAAAAGATCTCCTAAAGTTCTTCAACAGGAAAGTTCATTTTGTACCAGGCCACTAAGGAACAATGTCCTTCATCTTGTCACAGGCAGAAATTGAAGTTTTGGTAAGGCATGTTCCTTCACCATAAACATATTGCAGCCATATTAGGAATTCATTTATAACAGTTTATCAAAGGTTAGTAAATGAATAGATGTTATAAGAGATGATAATTGTTAAGATGATTCTATAGTCCAACAAATCAAACCTAAGATGTCCTCAGATCTGAGATACACTACTCATATCTAACATAAACGTTGATCTCGTATACAATATGAAATATTGACAGGGCTCATATTTCAAATGCAAATTCATTTTATCACCACTTTGCACCTGTGACTTCTTTCCATCATTGGGGCTTTACTTCAGCTTTTTCATCTAATTAGAGAGAGAATCCATAGCAGGAACCCTATTCAGTATAACCTTAAAGTATACTTTCTATAGAATCAATAGGTACTACTTTGTAGGGTAGATAGCTTAGTTGAAGACCAAAAAAATTCACCATCTGTCTGCTTATACAGAGTTTAAATTGGCATGGCTTCTGGCCAAATGCCTATTTTAATCTCCAGGATACCAGTATAATGGGCTAGC